AGAGAGGGGGACAGAGGATCCGAAGGGGGCAGTGAGCCTGACATGGGGCTTGAACCCACGAACCGTGAGACCGTGACCTGAGCTGAAGTCGGAAACTCAACCGACTGAGCCACGCCGGCGCCCCAAGCTGTGGCATTTTTGCAAGGTGTTCTGCAGCTGGACTGGAGCAGGAGAGCACGAGGGTGACAGGACAGGAAGGGGGCTGCTGGGGGAGTTCAGGGTGGAGCCCAAGGATCCTGTCACTGACGGAGCTTGGGCGTGGAGGTGGGTGTGGCTCCTTCTTAGTGTCACCTGTGCGGCCACGTCCCGTGGAGGTGGGGGTGGATACTCCCGTGGAGTATCTCCTTTATTTATTCTTTCCCCAGAGATCTGTTAAGACGGGCACAGTTTATGTGCTGTGAAACCGAGGCTCAGAGGGGTCCAGGGACCTGCGGGGTCACACGGGATTGGCGGAACTGGGGTCCGAGCCAGGTGGCCCCACCCCAAAGCCTGCATTCCTCCTTGTTCCTTCTGGGCCAGGCGACGGGGAGCAGGGGACACCACTTTCCGAGAAGGAGGGACGAGGGCTGGGGGTCGAGGAGCGAGGAGGAACTTGAGAGGCCTCCGGAATGGCCAGTAGGTATTCCACGTGGCCACGGGTTACGTGAAACAGGAGGCCTAAGGGACAGACGTCCGTGTCATCGAACACGCCTGTTCTCCCTGGGAGTGACCATCACACGGAAGTGCTACTTGGGATGAAGACCTGAGGCCCGGCCGCCCCGGCCCCCCCCCCCCCCCCATGCTTGGGGAGGGAAGAGGAAGAGGAACCAAGGAAGGAGGTGGAGAAAAACCACAAGTCAAAGGAAAGGCAGGAGGGGTGAGAGAAGGTGCCAGATCTCAGCCCTCCTGGAGGGTGGAGACTGACAGAGGCCACGGCCACCAGGATGTGCGTGGAGGGACACGGCCAGACGGCAGGTGGGTGGGAGAGGGGCACGGAGACATCTGTGTAAAAACCACCGAAGGAGATCCCTTTAAAGGCGCCTGGTCGTGAACGGAGGAGAGGATCCTAAGAAGAATCACGGACTCTGCCTCCAGGGGTCAAGCCTCCGCTGGGGTCCGGGGTCGGCGGGCTCCCGGGTCACCCTTCCCTGCAGGGGGGGTGCAGACACTCCCTCCCCGCCCCCGCCTCTCAGCCCAGAGCAGGGGCAGTGCTGGCAGGTCTCGCTTTCCTGCTTTGGGAGCAAAGGACAGATTTCAGTGATAAAGGACAGTTCGCAGACATTCGGGAACCGCAGAGAATCTCTATGGTGATACAATAATTTAAATCATTCCGAAGTTTGGATTCTGCTCCGAATGCCCCCTGCCCACAACCCCTCCTCGTCGAGCCTGAGGAAACTCTGGCTTAATGCCAAAGTGGCAACGGCCGCCCCAGCAGCCACCTGCGGCCCCGGCCCCAACCGGCCGCACCTGCCCTTGACCTCTCCCAGCTCCAAGCCTCAGCCGCCACCCGCCTATGTCCCAAACGCCGCTCTCTCGAGTCACACCCTCTAGGCAAGCGCAGGCTGAGCGAACAGCACCCCACCCCGTGCTTCTGGGTCAAGGTCCCCAAGGCCCCCTCACGTCACTGTTACCCCAACAAGGGCCTGCCCGGGCTTCTAGTTCCAAGGCAAACCTGGGAGCCCCGCACTGCCGATCAAGCATCTGCTGGGTGTGACAGACAGCCGTGGTTCCTGCACCTGCCAGCAGGCAGGCACCTTGGCCCCGGCCCAGGGTCACTTCACCTGTCCCTCTAGTCACCCCTCTCTGCTCTGGGCTGGCTTGGGTGCCCCCCGCCCACACCAGCCAGCAGGGGTGGGGTTGCCTGGTGCCCCCCATCCCACGGGCCCGCTGTTCCTCCCAGCCCCCTCCCGGGTCCCCTGGTGTCTGCAGGGGGGAGGGGGGACTGTCTGGAGGGCGGGTGGGGCAGGGGGCGGGGCCCAAGCCCACAGGGACCAGAGGGCGCTGCATTCAAGCACAGGAAAACCCAATTGGCCAAAAACACCTGAACCGATCCCCTAAAAACAAACTCCCTCAGGCAAGCCTCCTTTGTGGCTCGGTCGCCCCGCCCCTGCCCAAAGCGGTGCAGGTGCCCTGGGGTCTCTCGGGGAGCGCAGTCCCCCCACCAGCATCCTGCTCCCCGGCGGCGGACCCCGACCCTGCGACCCCCCCCCTCCACCCCCGCCGGTTCAGAAATAGCCCGGTGGGCCCCCGGGGGGAGGGGACCCGGGAACCGAACAGGACAGGCCGGCGGGGCAGGTGCGCGGGGTCTGACCTGGCCGGAGCGGGGCTGAGTCAGTGGGAGCCCGGCGCCCACCCCAGCTAAGGTGGTCAGGCTGGGGGCCCGGCCCCACAGGAAGGGCAGATAAGATCCCGTGACCAGCACTGGCTGCCTGAGGCGCTGGGTCGACAAAGAGTCTGAGCATGTAATCCTGCCCGGCAAGAAGGATCTCCCGGGGCCCAGGGGCCCAGGGGCCCAGGGGCGGGAGGAGGACTCGAGGACCACAGGTTTTCCCTCTAAATTAAAAAGTCGGTTTCCATTGAGCTGACAGTAAACAAAGCTTGACCGCTGGGGTTTCTCCTTTGCCGAAAGTTGTTAAAAAAACAAAAACAAAAACAAAAACAAAGACTTCGTCTTGGGATTTGCCCACATGAGAAAATTCTGAGCAACTCTCGGTTCCCCCTCTTAAGGACGGGACTGGAGCCCGCAAGCCCACTGTGCGTCCTGCAGGAGGACGGGCCCGAGGTGTGGCCGCACAGGTGCTGCGGTCCTGAGGCCGCCTGGGCCACAGGTGCAGAGAAGAGGGCAAAGTGGGGGGCAGAGGCCCCCGGGGGTGGGGGGCCAGGCGACGCACAGCCTGGAGGGAGCTGGCGGGAGGCCTGGGCTGGGGCAGCGAGAGGGCTTCCGTGTCCCTGTCGCCTCCGCCGTGCTCCCAAGAGAGCGGGAGTGAGGCTCCCTGGGGTGGCCTGGGAATCTGATGGCCCGGGAGCTGAAGACGGAAGGTGACGCACGAGTGGGGTGGCTCAGGGCGGGACGGGAAGTAAAATCGGAAAGAGGGACCTGACCCCACCGGCTCAGCCCAGGCTTTGGAGGAGGAAATAGAAGCCTCATCTTTTTCTGGGTGAGCAAAGCGGGTGTGGCCGGATCCTCCTGCCCCGTGTCAAGATTGGGGGCGGGGGCAGGGCCCCCCGGGGTTGTGGTCTGGCCCCCCAAGCCTGGCACATCCTCCCCCTGGAAACAGGTGTTCTCCTCCAGAGTCTCTGGCTGCGGGTGTGCGGTGCCTGATGGCCCTGGAACCGCGCGGGGGACGAGTGAAGTCAGGGGAAGGGTCCCCTCACTGCCACCCCCCCCAACCCCCTGCCGCTAGGTCGGCAATGTCACAAGGTGGTTACACAGTCAGCTCAGTACAGAGACCCAAACTTTTACCCACAAAAAGGCGATTCATCGGAAAGAGGACGAGGTGGCAGGAGCACGGTGTCCGGGCGTTGGGACGCCAGCAGAGCGGGGGGGGGGGGGGGGGGGGGGGGGGGGGGGGGGGGGGG